TGATACCAAGAGAGAATATTTCTATTTTCATATTTTTGAATTTCCAATCGCTAGTTGTAAGATAAAACAATTCCATGAAATTATAATTACCTCTTGCTCTTTTGCCTCTTTCATCTTCAGTTAYCGYAGGTTCATYTGGATGACCAACCATTGGTATTTGATGTGATGGTAAGGACCTGATTTCATCCTCCAAACTTTGCACAACAACATTTGAATTTAAGTTTTGCTCAGATTGGCCAACACTCAAAGCAAACTCATCGACTGTTTTTGAMACTTCAGTGTCAGATGGTACAACACAATTTCTATCAACGTTTGGACAATCTACATTTTTAGAATTGCTGGCAACATCAGCTTTTTCATCCTTTTCTATAGTTACCTTCATCTCTTCTTGTATCTCGTCTTTGATGGAGAATTGTTCAGCTTGGCTGCCGGATTCATCATTTTTTGAAAGAAGACGTCTTTTTTCTGATAAATTATCTTGTTCTGCAGCACATTGGTCATCCATTTTAACAAGTGCAACATTCTTTATCACTTCTTGTAACTTGCCTGTAAGAGCAAATTGTTCAACTTGATTTCCATCTTCAATTTCTTCGTGAAACATGAAGTCTTTTGTCKAGTGAATCAAGTGCAACATTCTCTTTCTCTTCTTGTATATCCTCTGTAGGGGCACATCGGTCAACTTCTTCGTCACTGCTTGCTTCTTTCCGTAGAAGTGAATTTCTGCCCTCTGGCTTGTCTTTAATTGCACCAGAAGATTTATTGAAACTTTTTCTATCTCCATCTCCTTTTGGTGTGACCTCTGTTTCTTCACTCAACACTTCAGCTGAAACGAATGGGTCAACTTTATTACTATTATATATGCTTTTTGTAGAAAAATGATTTCACTTTGTGGCTCATCTACAGTTCTAGCAGATGTGCCGACATTTTCGTCACTCTTACCTCTATTTGGTGTGTTCAGCTCTTCTGTTATGCCATTTTTGTCAACTATGCCAATATCACCTTCTTTATGGGACGGGATTTTTCTGTTTTCTTGTGGATGTGGATCATCTAGAGTCGGAGCACAGCGATCAACCTCTATGGTTTGATGCGATGARTCATTTCCATCTTCCTGAACATCCAGTGTGGCAGCATTTCTGTCAACTATTTCATTGACATCCATTTGTCTTTCCTCCATTGCGTCTTTTTCCCGATGATAAACATCTTGTTTTGAGAGACCAAACTGGCCAGTAGTTGAAGGAAACATAGCTTGGGGACTAGAAAACAATTGTACACAAGCAAGGCGGGTTCCTGATGTTAAACGCTCACCAGAGCGTCTGGTATAATACTCGAAAAGAACTTTACCTGCATTGGGCAAGTCTTCAGTGTCGAAACTTTCCAGCCCAAGCAAAGTTAAACAATCGTTAATTAATCGATGAACTTTGTCATCTATTGAAACTTTACTACTAGTGGAGCAATAGTGCTCATATAAYTGCAAGGAGAGCTTCTTTAACTCGCAGCCTCTCGTCTGGTCTAGATTTGACTGCAGCTGCATCAATGCAAGACTAACTTTGTAGCAGGCGCACACCAGGATGTAAAACTGCTCTCTGCTGGTTAGAGACTTGTATGTCTGATGGGCTTGTATACTGTCTCTCAGGTCTTCAATAGCAATCCTCAAAAAGAGCTGCTTTTCATGAGAGGTTGCTGTAAGCTTGGCAAACTCAAGCATGACTTCACCAGCTTGGCACTGAAAAAGGATGATACGTCAATGAATAGGGTACCACAGTGTGAAGATGGACAGACGGACGCGATGTCCGTCGATGCTCAGGTTTCACCAGTCAATCATTTAGTTTTAAAATATTCTCCGAAATTTTTGACATGATATGTCCGTTTTSATCGTGTCTTACTTGATTGCCCCGTACCTCATATTATGGAAGCAAATAGTCATTTCCCTTAGAGCAGATCAGTGTTAGATATAACACAATGAGCGGCCCTCATAATAGTGGATCGGAAATACTGTAAGTATTTCATATGGTTTATCAAACATCTAAATTAAAAATACCGATAGCTACTGGCATTGTCAAGCTCCTTGCTGGCCATACAGGCAAATGAGACACAGTCTATTGTCTAAATTAGAAAATATTGCATATACGCTACGCAACTGAATTCACCGAGTGACTTACCGAGTGCCGCAGGAAGAACATTGGCGTATACACGGACAACTTGCTTGCTTCCTGCGCGCTGAAGTATGCCGCCAACAAGGGATTGCACTGAACAAGATCATAAAATTGTACCAATGGAAAATAGTCATTGATAGTCATATTGCGAAGACATAATGACAGCAGCCCATAACTTGACGACAAACCCTGACAAGAGCACAATTATTTGACATAAGTAATATATAATTATCTATAAAATACCAATATTTCTCCATTACATAAAGTTGATATGTTAGTGTTATTTTCACTAGTGAAAATAACACATTCATAGTATCTCTATATACTGGAGTAAATGAGTTTTTTTTAACATAATTTGCTTTCACTGATAATTAATATGATAAACAGAATAGTACATGATCGCTTGGAGATACGAATTTTATCTTCTCATGTTGAAAATCTCTCACTTACAAGTTCGCTACACTCACTCGTRATTCTTCTGATTTTGTCAGCTAACTAATTGAATTGAACTTATCAAAAAYTTATCATCTACTAACTCTTTATTCAAAGTACTAAAATCATGTTGTTAGCAAAATATACCTTTTTGTCTGGTTTTGGCAGAGAGCCAAATAACTGAATYGAACGAAGCAAAAGAGAAGCAGCCTGCTGCCAGTGACCAAGGCGGTACTGTATTTCACCTTTTATCTGCACACACACTCCACAAACAACCTSGTGGTCTTGCTCTTCTTTGTACTTCCACTGACCAGCTTCTGGTTTTGACTGTAAAAGTTTATCAAGTGTTGCTTCTGCTCCTGAAATATAATACAGCATGTAACCATTTGAAAGCTTTGAATAAAAATGTTTTACTTACTGCCTGAAGTATTAGTTGCTTTGTTTCTGATCAAATTTAGATAAAATGATTTGAAATCAACCAGAAACAAAGCAGCCACCACCTCAAAAAACAATATA